GCCAAGTTATCACCTGCTGAGAGGATCGCTGTTTTCTGCGCATTATTGGGAATAGCAGAAAGCTAGAATCGAACAGAATGTGGCATAGCTGAGGGAAACGATGGACGTTACCAAAGATTTTGGTGCTCTTGGGGCTGTTTACCTTCAAGATCGGGATCCACATGATTCTCACTACTTGTCTAGTGACACATATCGAAATGACGGCTAACCGACGTTTGTTTTACTTCATTCCTAGGCCCTTCTCATCTCCACTTCTTTATTCTTCACTTTACGGGCATGTATGTTACTTAGATGGAAATGAAACACCAGTCTTCTATTATGGTTCTGCATCAATGGTGGAAACGATGATAGATATCTAGTCTCTCCTCAAACTAACTAATTGGTACATGAAGGGATGAGGAGGTACGCCTTCAAAACCTTCTCCAATATGTTATTTTATAAATTTAATGTACTGAATCCCAGGTTACTGACGAGTTCAAGGTTCTAGTTCAACATCAGTCTTGCCCCGAGCACATTTTCATTATTGAGCAGCATATATCAACATATGGAAATATACAATCCACATAAACACTCCAAAATAAGCTCATAGTGAACTATTCATTTTGTGGAAAAGAATCCCTCCTGAAAACCTCGTATATGTGTACGTCTTCCAGAAAAAAAAGCCGTCATCACCTCGGCAATCCCGGAATAAAGATTCCTGAGGGAAGTCTCATTCCTGAAACGTTTTTAAGACATGAGTAAGGAGCCATATTTGACTTCAACAACCACCATAAAGTAATTCAGCTGATTTGCTGCAAATAAGCACACAAGAATGACAGCTGAACTTAGAGAGGTTATGAATATTTCGGTATCCGAAATCTCCAAAGACTATCATAACTTTTTAACATCACTGATAAGTTTGATGAAGGTGGAGGTGCCCGCCAACAACAACTTATTGTGCAGACAGGTATCCTTTTCAACACGTGAACAGCTTGGTTTGTTGGAGTCCTGATGATCAGGTTTATTAGTGAAACTCAAAGAATGACAAAGGCGGCAGCTGCCTAATTTGTTAACTGACTAAGTGAATAGCACTACAAGTGGTGATGCATTTAGATATTTGAAATTGTTTTCCAATTAATACATTGGACTGCCTCAATACAGCACAGTAGGTTAAGAAATGTTATGAACGGGAGTTTCAGCAGACTTTGGATGAACCTTCTGTCAACACCATCTACCGAGATTTTATCCGAAAGTTCGTTTGTTGATATCTGTTTGGTAACTGACATTTCACGTTTTTTTATAAAAAGGACCAACCTCCTCTACGAAACAAATAGCCTTTTGTCGCAAGTGGTAAATTTATTCAGCAGACACTCTGAGCGCTGTGAATGATAACTTCGTTTAAATCACGATGAATATCACAAAGTTTATTTCTCTAAGGTAAATGTGGTTGGCTGAAGTGGATTAATGGGAGTGTGCTGCAATATAAACGGCAGTGGTTTGAATGAAAAAATCTATGGTATCGCTCAAGTTGATAAAGATTTGAATTAAAAAACCTATTGCATATAGTACTGCACCAATAATGCCCTACAAATCTCGGGCATACATTTTTCTTGAGAAATCTAGTGAATCTTCTGCAATCCTTGAGCTTTGTTCGATCTAAACATACATGGTGAGCTTTTCATTTCTCAAAATCTGGTCAACAGAAATTTGTGCATGACAAACGGAGTTGACCGATCAAAAACATCTCGCGTAACGGGACACGTTATCCTTCATCAACCAGTGTATGTGGTGCACATTTCTCTTTCTGACTTTGCGTTTTGCGAGTTGAGGGTCGAACGACAAGGTAACTAAAGTCACTGGTTCTGCGAACCATCCGCCGAATTGCTGAAGCCAAAGCAAATCCTCCCATCAAAATTGTAGGAGCCAATCGTCGTCATAAAGAGTTGTCAAGAGTTATGTGGAATACATATGGAAGCCCGTTTTGTAGCAAACACACTCACAATGTTATGCCAAAACTTACACTCGACTATTCCACATGAGCGTCTGCTCAAAATGGATGCTCTGAGAGAAACATCAAAATACGTTCGTTTATGTTTTATTGAGATATGTGTTATATTACATTCCGATTGCTCATGTCTCAGAGTGAACGGCTTCATTGGTAAGGACTAACCTCACAACTACTTGACCTAACAATATAAGTTATTTCCAACGGCTAATTCAGATGTGGCGCATTTTGGGACACGGATTTAACGAAGGTAAGGAAGTTCTTGTGAACTTATTTTGATGAGCTTACGCATTTAAATGCCCTTAGAGAACTCCTGTATCATTATAAAAATCAGATACAGACCAACAGCTCATTGACTTGGTCAATATATTCCAAACACACAACAGCATCCCTTGTACTCATTTATGTACCAGTTGCAAGCATCTTGTAATTTTGAACAACGATATGCTTATTTCATTAGTTACGTCAAGTGGAAGCATTCATGTCGCAAGAGGTAGAACAGACAGCAGACTATATCGAAGACATCTGTAATGCATTTTTGAATTGTTTTAATCTGTTCTTCATTACCCATCAGATATGCAAATCACATGACCTTGCACGACACCAACTAAGACAAACTAGTTTTCGCACTTGTACACAACGGACAGCATGGAATGGCCATTTAAACCATGTATATGTATAATTATTGCATCTCTTACAACAAGAGTTTCGGGTTCCATTTTGGTGGCGTGGTGCCTGAATTACAGATCACCAGATGGGACTCCAACCAGATGACAGATCACAGTATGTCAAATGCTTGGACGCTATTACACATTCAGTCGCCTAATAATTGCTCTCTTCCTTCACTTTAGATTATCCGCTGGGTCTTGTGGAGAGATTAACACTACTAAGCACACTAGCACAAAGAAATATACCCTGGAAGTTTGTCACTACAACTCGCGTTCCTAATTATCCGGTCGTGTGGGAACCACTCGAATTTTCTCAGAATTCGTGAGATACCCCAATACCAACTTTTTATCACTTGTGTTAGTGTTTGTGTTTTAGTGGAAAACGTTATTTAGTGCACAGCAGAGAACGGTAAATTTGGGCATCAGAACGACATCTCGAGCAATTGTGTGGCCACCATATTCTGTGATCTAACTGTTGCTAGTCTTCATAAGTTACTTCAGATGAACTATCAGAAGCAAACAACATTTTCGGTCTACGTTTTGCACCCACAGTTCAGTGTTTGCTTCAAAATTCCTCTGCTACTTTTTGAATCCTGAATTTGAGGGGCCGGATGGCTTAGGTCGATTTTGCTTCACAAAAACATTTTGGTGGGGAGAGTATTGCATGCAGGTCAACAATAACTAATGTCCTAATTTATAGTTGCGGAAATTTACCTCCCCTATTTGAAGGCCTCAAGAATGTCTGAGGATTCAACTACCAGTTCATCCGGAGGAAAATTGAAAAGGACGAGCCATGATACCGCTACCCGAAGCAAAAGCGACTATGGTCATACTTAATGCCGGGGGTTTTCAAACCTTGCCGTTTGGGGTTTATATCACCATCCCCATAAGTGTTTGGGAACTCATCTCTGTGGCGGCCACCCTATCACTTTCTGCCGGAGTGCCTAGTAAAAGTTCGTTGGCCATTAAACGCTGGCTTTTACGATGCAATTATCATTTATTTTTGAAGAGCATGGTCACAAACATAAGAAGTGAATGCAAGCGATGAATGCGAAAGAGTAACAGGAGAATATGGGAGAAAAGAGAGAAACGTCTCATTCGAAATCATGCCAAGGACAGTGCCAGTCTGATGAGGTGAATCCCAAAGTATGTAAAGATTTTGGTATGGGAACAGGCGTCTAAAGACTAACAACCAAAGAAAGGACAAACAATGGTGAATGCTCTTCAAGGCGCAGTATGCGCTAGCACAGTCAAGACTCGCACATCAGGCACAAAGTGACCGTCATACTGGGTCTGGGGTGAGATTAAATGGCAAAAATGTACCTTCAGCTCCATGTGCCACGCATAAAAGTGTCATAAGTACGCAGGGAGCCCACAATGGCAAGCAAACACAAGTCACTGACTGCGACCTTAGGAAGTCCCAGTCCAATAACAGCCTTAGCGGATTGAGGAAAGCAGATCCCTCGAATAGAGATGATCATCGGTTGGTGAACCAAAAAGTCGATATCACAACCGATGGCATGTAGGGCTGAGATTATGGCGAGGGAATGTTCATCAGCACCATACTTCTGCTTCTTCTCATTCCACACTATCTCTCCACGCCCATCCGAGACTATGCTAACGTCTATTACGGTTGCACGGCGATCTCGAACAGCGATTAGGTCAGGTTTGATGAACGACGTAGAAGTAGGGGTTCTCAACTCCTCGAAGACGGTGTACCCCAGTCGACGGAGACGTTTTGCAAGTTCCCTTGCAACCCGATTATGACGAGCACACCTGGCATCATGCGTAATCCAGCAGGATTGCAAAATATGCACCAAACTCTCCGGTTGGCCACAGTTTCCACGACATAAGATCGTCTGGCCACCATGACCATGCCGAGCGCTTCTAACTCTCGTCCTAAGCAGGTTGCATCGGAGCTGGATACCCCGGATAAATATCCGTGGAAACACTCGTTCTGGGAATACGAGCCATCGATTCGAGAGAGGCGAAGTGACCAACTCTCGTAAACCGCGACCGTCAGCGCTGTTGTGCAGACTTTCACCCCAAGCAGCCACCAGCTCCTCCTTGGTGTTTACGCATGCTCCATGGACTCGGATCGGAAGGCTGAGATCCCGAACAATTTTGCCGAATGCGGAATCGTTGACCACATTGCGTAGTACTCGGCACTGAGTAGAGAGGAGCTTTTCCATACGCGTTTTCCGCTGCATCGGGATTGTTGCACTCAGACTTGGGATACCAAGTCCCCCATGTTGTTTACCGGCGTGGATGTAGCTGATTGGGGTGTCCTTCGGTAGACGTAGCCAGCCACGAATATATTGCCTGATGTAGTTGTCCAATCTTTTTAGTGTGTTCCTGTGGACTTGGCCGAGCACGAGCGAATATGTCAGCCTTGGTATCAGGTAGTTCCTCGTGATATCCATTCTTTGATGCGGCTTCAACGGGGCACGCGTCACTTCTTCGAGCAGTTTGAGCAGGTGCTGTCGGTGGTTGAAGACCCCTTTCCCCTTGGAGGTGAAGGGAATGCCCAAATATGTTACAGTGTCTGTCGGACCCAGAGGAGTGATTAGTTCCTCGGCAAAGCGAAATGGTTCGACTGAGACTGCTGTTGCCCGATGTTTCCTGTCCCCACAAATAACCATCACTTTAGTCTTTCGGGCGTTTATTTTCATGCCAGCTCTTCCCAACTCGACCGCAGCAGCTTCAAGCTTCTCTTTAAGGCGTGCCTGACTTTCTGCACACACGACCCAGTCGTCAGCGAAAGCAAAACCATCTACTAAGGTGTCATGGAACTGGTATCCCAGTTGCGGCATCGACAATCCAAGAACCTCATCCATTGCCATAATGAATAATAATGGGGAGAGTGGATCTCCTTGCCTCACACCTCTGTGGCAGTGAACCTCGGAACTGGGGAAAACTGCTACAGCATTCTCATAGGACTGTGCGATGTATCGAACTAGAGGTGACGGAGCTCCAAACGCCTTGGCAGATCTGACGATTGTGTCATGCGAAACCGAATCGAACGCTTTCGAGATATCGACAAACGCCAAGCTGAGGTTAGAAGCAGTCGCTGAAGAGTGACGAAGCAGGGCATGCAACAGCGATGTGGCTTCCAAACAGCCGTCTCGATGCAGAAATGCAAACTGAAGAGAGGGCAGTTGCAATCTACGACTCCAGCGATCAGCAAGCACCTTATGGAAGCAACGGACAAGAATGGATGACACGGAGATCGGTCTCAGTTGATCAGGTGAAGTCGGATGTGGGACCTTCGGAACTAGCGTAATACGGGCTCTACACAGATGTGGGGGACAACCCCCAGATAACAAAAATAAGTTGAAATACCCAGCGAGCACATTAGCATTGAACCGGCGGAGCGTCCTGGGTGTGAGCTTGTCCAGGCCTGGGGACGAATTGCCCATTAAACGGATCGTACGGCCAACTTCCTCTCCTGTAATTGGCTCGATCAAGCTCCAGTCGGATGGTACTACCATGCGACTTGGTCGGCTATCCGCGTGTTTTGGAGCTGAGAGCACTTGTTTCCAATACTGTTCGGCGTCCATAGGTAGGCCGCAGTTTCCTTTGTATAAATCCTTCCATGACCCATCGAGTACAGCAGACGCTGCATCTTTCCGTCTTTGGTGGTATAGAGTCTGGATGGCGGCGTAGTTGGCTCGGCGGATCTGCTTTCGGCTGACCGGGATCCGATGGGCTAACTGGCGGCGACGTCGGGAAACAGTTTTCCAGGTGTGTGGAAATGTCCTGGAGGCGTGGAGGTCCAGAAGCGACAGGACTTGCTCCGGTGTCATGATGCCAGACTGCAACCCTCGGGCAAATGCCAGAAGGTCAACACTAGCGAGCGAACGGTCAGCATGGGATTCCAAGAGTGACACGGTGCAATCCACGGTTTGTTTAAACCAGACGCTGTAATCATCGGCTTCTGATGAGTAGGCCGTCGTCTGACCGATAGTTTGCTTGCCAGTTAAGCACCCGTAACCTGGTTTTGATGCTGATAGCCGATCGGCCAGGAAAATACTGCTCCAATCTCGTGAACAGCTCGGTTTGCGTGCCGCAAGATGGATATAAATTGTTAGCCAGGCGTAAGAGCGATTGTGACTCTTGCTGGGACCAGCGGGTACCGGAATACTTCACTCGGCCAAGCTTATCTGCATTATGCTGGGTGGGGTGTGCGTGCCGGCGGTGTTGACTCAGGCCAATCTTCGTCGGAAAAAGGCGGGAACAATCAGCGCAAGCCAATTGGGCGACTGTGTTCGTACCAACACTTTCATTGTCGTGAACTCGATGATGGGCTACAAAGCCAGCTTTCGATTTGCAGCACTTGCCACATTCCTCACACGTGAACCCAACGAGTCTCTCCTGTGTACTGGTTGGAACTGGTGCGGATGCGCCAGATGATTTGTAGTATACATTGTCGAAAGTACTACTTGATTACCTCCTTTGATAGCGTCTTACTCTGATATGATGCTCTTAAGTATTTACCTTGTTCCAGTAGAGAAGATATGAACACCTTGCACATCGTTCTTCATACAAATTTATTTTTCATCACGTCTCCATCTCTCTTCACCTCTTGCTAGCGCATTCGTTTATCAAATTTGCTTGGCGGCCACAAAGTACTGCTTGCTATAGGTTGTATGGCAATCAGCGGTAATGGTGTCATTGATTAGGGTGATGACGAAGATGCCGGTAATGAGGATGGTGATGATGACAATGGGAAGATGAATTACGATGTAGAGGATGACGGTGATCAGCCATTTGGTAGGCTAGAAATTCAAATGACTGAAGTTGCACCTTTGAGTATACCCGAGGGATTCACGGATCAATGAACCACGTTACAAACCTGCTGTGCGTTCGTTGCAGCTACTTATTTCGTCCTTGGTTGCATTTCGCACCTTGCGTCTTATCATACATATTTACTGTTACTGTTTGGAACAAAATAGACAAACGATTTAATCTTCTAGTTTTTTCTTTTTGGGGACTAGCAAATTGTGAGTATATTCAACGCATTTCAATCAAAACTCCCTAAGTAAACTGGTCTATAGCTTTGGATTGTCCAAAAGCGGAATTTGTCTGACCACGTCGTGAATGAGTTGAAAACAGTCTGTGGAGACGTTAATCATCCTTTTTGTGTGCAATGATTCTAGTTAGCCATTTTCACACCAGCTACTGTTGTATTTGACACTCTCCAGCTGATTTTACGGAAGAATCCGATACGAGGATTATTATCCGCATACCTAGGTTACGTTTTGACACCTAGGGCAAAATAATTACCGCTATTACGTCAGCCTTGGAAAAAATTATTGATAACTTTTGATAAAATAATATCGTTTGGAGCTCACGACGTTCAGTAAGGGATGACCAACCTTACGCTCCAAAAACATGAATAATATTACGGCAGAATAGCAAATACTAACGTATTAACCAGTCACAAGTAACCTGAAGTAGGAAGAGTAGCAAATCGTTCCAAGCGCTAGCACTTATTATTATTTCAGGTCTGTAACTGCTCATTTGTAGTGTTAGTTAGTTAATTTAACTGCAAAGCCTAATGGACAAATATCTCGTCTACGTTTGCAAAGCTTTTATTACGATGCACTCCAGGCGAATTGCTTTACGCACAGCAAATCACTTTGTCGTTTCAGGTAGATAATATCGTAAACCGTCGCTGTTCACCTTAGAATGCCCATAACTATTGTTGAATTGAGTTGACAGGGTAGTTGTATGTATATAAATTAGGAACAAAAGGCCCCTTTGGAGACGACTACATTTCATGTATGTAGCGACGTACAGGCTTGCAATGTCGTTGTCCTTGTTACATGAGCCGTTTTTGAAACTTGTTAGAAGGACATCTTTTTGTGCGCCCACCACCGAAAACTTAATCTTTCATACATTTTGCACACAGCCTTTTTCTGGGACTGATTGTTTTGTATCCTAATTGTTAAACAACATAGAGTGTGGTGCATTTATTAACCGGTGCAAATCGCAGGCAATACTGTTGGATTGTAGAAATTTCTGGTCGAAGGAAAGTTTTCAGGGAAATGCAAGGTCGTGCTCTTATCGGTCTTCTCAAAGTAGATGTGTGGAGATCAATCAACGAAACAGTAAATGCGGTCAGTGTTAATTACACAGCCCATACACTTCAAAACACAGAACGATTTATATAAATTACCAACCGTTTGCGCGGCACATATTTCTTGTTCATCCCGCCACCAAACTCGTGCTCGGGTCAAATTTACCAGGTCTTACACTTATCAAGAGGCAAAAAATTTAAATTTTGGGGAGTAATCGTATACTTTCTGGAGTGTCATATGGTTTTTGTAAATATCACTGGGTGTTTGGCGGTAAAAGCGGTTTTCTGGACAACAAGTTTTGATTACTATATCGACGAGTACTTCCTGTGAAAAACTTGGTCATGTGGTTTCAGTCTATCTTTGATATACCCCTGTATGCAAAAGACAACATACAATGGAATACGAACTTTAGACGGTTTAAAACTCGCCAACTAGCTTGGATAACCAGCAGAAGTCATACTCCACATTTCCGAGTTCATCCTGTCAAAGCCTGCGAGCTGTCAAAAAAGCCTTCAGCAAAACAACGAAAAATGCTTTAAGGTAAAACATTTCAATCACTGATCGGAGCGTGGCATGATTCTGACACATTTGGCCATCCATGACAAATACAAGGTCATATTCGTGCTTATATGTTCGGGTTAAAAGACATTGTAATGCCAACAATCACGATAGCGCCAGATACTACACCACCACTGGCTACGTTTTTCCCAAACGAAGCATAACTTGCTCGAATTACAAATTTTGGAAGACAAAGCAGGCTGTATGATAAATCACGTTCACTTTGCATATGCGATCAGTCTGCACACAGTTATACTTTGAATCATTCAGTGCTGCCTTATGCGCCATTCTAATGTCTGTATTAGACTGCACTGAGTGTATCACCGAAGGAAATCTCAACAGTTTTCGCAACCCTCGGTCTGCGCAACCAAGTTACTTTTCGAAAACATTTATTTCTGCTTCATGATATCTTCACTAATTATGCCCCACCTGCAAACATCTGTACGATTTGCTGCCGCTTACCCTTAAGATTTATGGTGCGCTAAAATTTCCTATTTACCCATTCAGTTGCTCCAGGGTAACACATCAGAACAATTTGTTTTACGAATTTGAATGACCCGGAAATGTATAATTACCACAAATAGTATCCATGATCCGTTTACCATGGTACATCTGCCGTTTTGGATCAACAAACACGTCACATTAACTTTTTGACACTTTTTATTAAAAACCGTTTTAATTGAAACACGTTGTTACTCGTAAACTTACTTAAAGCCTTGTCCGGGGCGAAAATATGGTCATTCAAACCAATTAAAGCATCAGCAGCTCCTGGGCCAAACTAAACATAGACGTTGTATACACAGCCAAGGTATAGTGCCACAGTTTCACTAAAAGAATATGTCGCCCCAAATGGCTGTCCCCTGACCGACCTGTGTACGTTGTACGGGACTTCAGGAATGCGCCCGATCGTTATTCACAAATCAAGATAA